GTTGACTCCTTTATGTATATACATAATAATGACTCCATCCTTCAACTATTTGCACCCAGTCATAAGATTTCTATGTATGCATTTTGTCAAAGATCAATTACTGCTCTTTTTTCTGTCTATTTGGTCAAAGAAAGGATTATCTCATGAAGGAAGTCTACATGGGTGGTCTCATACCAACAAAAAGCTAGAACCACTCAAGTTCTCCATTCAATTCATAAATGCATCACTAGAATTTACATTCTTCACCTCACCAAACCTTGTTGATGCATCTTTTGGTACTACTTTCGTATGAAACACCAATCACATTTCAAGGGAGTGTGTCATTTTATGCGCCTCTCTTCAACAGTAGTATCTGGTACAAGACTATATGAGAGTTACACAGGTATTCAGAGTGATTCCAATGAACTACTTGGCATGCACYCCTAACACAATTGGGTAAAAWTTTCTTACTRGCATGCCTTGGATAAATAGGGGGACMTCGGTGCACCAAATAACACAGGTAATAGAGTATCAATGGTAAAAGTATAACCTATTTACCTACCTAGCTACCCCCTCGTCTCCCCTTTTAGACAATGTACGGGGTGGAGCTTTGAACTCATGACCATAAAGTATTCTTTTCGAACGAGCTAATTGTCGATCATCCTCTACAAGGACACACAAAATTACTACCATTAAGAACAAAAACGATGAAGACATACAAAAATATGACACCAAAAAAAACAATAACTAACAAAGTCAAAATTGACACTATTATATGTGGGCATTGTTTTGTTATTCGTCAATGAACTAGCTGATAAAGTGTATGCCTTTGGGCGCTGCCCCTTGACCACGTATTATGGCGATCTAAGGTGGTAGAGGTGAACATTTGTGAGTGTGCACTTCGTAACTCCTAAGTCATGTTGTTTGCCTTACCACATTAATTGATATGAGAACATCACAATTACACCAAATGATCGATGACACTAAAATCATCAATATTCCTCCCTCAAATGCATGGGTGTCACTTAGATACACTACTCAATTGATTCAATGTAAGCCGAAAACGGACTAACACTTAGAACTGAAAACTAATTAGCACAACTGACACAACTTCGAAAGCTTTGGAAAGCAAATTTCACTGAATCAACCTAAGAAACAAACAAGTAGAAAATTTGTTTGGATCTTTTAAATGAATAAAGTATTAAAAGAAAAAAATATAGAAAAATAAGTTCTAACGATGAGAGAAAGTCAAGTTCACCCGTTCGTTACCAGCGCAAGTGTTGCACCATTTGATTAGTTTTCACACTATGTTCAATTTTAATTGCATTGCATAAACGGATGTGTTATGGAACCGATCCAATCCTCACCATAATCCATTCCTATCTGAACCAACCATCTTCGATCCCACCTACATTAGTGTGTTCAATACGGTCGGAAGATACCAATGCACTATCTAAATTATGTAAAGTGGTCACAATAATGTATTCAAATTAAATACACACAAATATTAAACATTAAACCCCCCACAAAAACCGTCAACATTTTTTCCATGTCCATATATTCATATTGATCATGCAAATTAAAACCGAAGTAAACAAACAAAAACAAATCATAATGGGATCATACATGGGTTTTCAAGCCAGCCGACCTAAAAACTGATTTAGTTCATAATTGTGAAATGCATACATAACAACAAGCACATGTTTGATCAAGAGCTCATGTTTTCCAACTCCATGTGCTTTCACCATATGTTGGGATTTCTTTATCTCCTCTAGGACATTTTAAAGAGTAATTCAATAGGTTTCCACATATTTTTCCACTATCGAATTATTTTGATTTACACTTTTAAGAAATACATGAAAAATAAAGGAAAGAGTCGAGAACGTAACTTTTTTGTTACTTTTTCGATTATACATCATGGACGGGCCAATTTGTTGGCGTCCATACATATTCCATCGAGCGTTTCACGGAAGAAGGAATCCCATCAATAATAAGATTTATTACCATCCGACTTTCAATAAGTAATAGATTTGTTGATATTAATCAATCATACCAATTGTTTTGAGTGAGAAATTTTCATGTCTTCCATCTCATCCTTGAGAAACATAATTACACTACTCTTGGTGAAAAGTAGTCATTATGTGAGGGTTGTAATTGAATCCATGACTAGAAGGATATACATTGTGAAATGGAATGTAAAACATCATCCTTTTTTGTATGGAGGGCCCAAGACATGTTACTCCTTTTACCAACATTTTGATGATAATTTCATCCTATTAGCAAAAAGGGACTTTCAAGTTTTTGCCTAAGTCCCAACAACACAAAACATGTTTGAGACATGTTTCTTTTCTATCAATGTGAATCATTGAGAACCAAGATTATCATTAGTGCCTCACTCTCCCACCCAAAATTTGTTCTTCAATTTTTTTTGAAAAGGTAACTATGATTACGATAATAGTAGCACACGTTGTATTCCCGAAAAAATTGGAAATTAAACGAACACAAAAACAAGCTACAATCCATCAACTAGACACTTATCATAAGTGTAGAACACAAAATATTTTAGTAAGGGAAAATTGCAATGAAATAGAGCTAAGTTTGTGTTGATTCCTATTCTGGGAACCAACTTTCAAATCATTTTAGGGTTTCAAGCGAAAATCTTCATATATTTAAGTGTTCCGATTATTTGTTCAGTAGGTAACTGATTACCTTAATATGATATGGCAACATACTTAATTAAGAAAATATTATGGATCCACTATTTCTTCACCACCAAACCATCTTAAACATTGAAACAACATATTGTATGTATGTATTTACAGTAGAGTTGTTTGTCCTATGTATGCATTTACAAAGAGGGTGGGAAAGTGCCTTTAGTGACGACATGTTTCAACCACAAATTACAACGATGACATGTCGTCGTTATAAACCTTTTGCAGCGAAAAATGGAGTTTTAGCGACGACAAAAATTGTCACAAAAACCACTGTTTTCTTGTGGTGGTAAGAACATTAATTTGGAGCCTTTTGTGAATGTAAATAAATGTAAATGGTGAATAATCCAAATAGGATTTATACGAATCATATGTCTTCAAAGTCGCACGAGCTTAGCAAACCAACAATGAGGTGCTTGTTTCAAACCATCCAAAGACTTTCATAGAGGACAAACCATAACTGGAGCTGAAATGATAAACGCACAAGGGAATTGTTGGTGATTTGTATCACTAATATCATTTAAGTGTAATGGGATTAATTTATTGACCAATGTAATCATTATAAATATCGAACAAGTAAGAAAGGTGCGGAGTGCACACTTGTTTGAGTTTATTTTGTTTTAAACGATAGGGTCCGAGGGCTGCGCCCCCGGTGGCGGGGTCCAAGGGGCAGAGCCCTTGGCTGGGGTCGAGCTTTGTGAAAAATGCTTCAAAAATCCAAATTTAAAATTTTAAACCTGGTTTAGGGTTCAAAAACTGCCGTTTTGACAGTTTTCGTATTCAATTTTTGAATTGGCCATTTTGATTTTGAAGAGGTACACAGATTCATAACAATCGATTCTTTGTTCGAAAACCACTGATTTTATCTGATTGGAATTTCGTTTGTACCATCGAAATACTTCAATCTGAAAGTGTTATACGACTTTCAGTGGAATCCAAGCAATCGAAAACCCAAATTTTTAACAGAAATTTCATTTTATTCGGCGACAACGGCTTGGAAGGTTCGCCACAATTACCATTTTTGCCACTGGGCAAAGGTTTTGCTATAACCGGTACTTTCAATTTGGTGGTGAACAAAAACAACCAATTGTGCCTTAAATTGCTTAACTGTCCCATAGGAGTTTTGCTTACTTTTGTGAACCTATTTACTACCAAGGGGATTTGTTTCCGGGAGGAAGAGGTTACATATATGGTCCATGTATTATGATGTTATAAGGCCTTTATTTTCTTTTTGCATAGTCGAACGCCACTAAGGTTTCTTCATAGCCATATAAAAGATTGGGGTTCAACACTTGGCATGGACGGTATCCCAATTACACCAAATGGTTGATGTAACTATCACCAACAATTCATTCAATAAAACAATTGGGGGGCAATAGTGAAGATCAAAAGGAAACGTTACCTTAAATTGGAGGAATCACCCAGCTACCAATTAAGTAGGATATCAATCTTAACATCTTTTATTCCGGTAGAGTGACATCATATATAAAGTTTTTCAGCTTCTCAATTTCTTAAAATGATAAACCATGTTAATAATTTATCTATGTCTGGTTGTTTGCTAATTATGACATGAGATATTTCCCTCTCTAAATGCATATATATATATATATATATATATATATACACACACATATATATATATGTGTGTAGATATGCATGTGTATTAGCAAACCAATATAAGAAATAAGCGGTCTTGTACTTAAAACTTAAAAGTTAACTATATAGAATTAACATAGATATGCGTAGACTAAAAGTTATATGGAAAGCGTCTCTACTACTTCCGGGTAAAGGAAAGACTTCGTGTATTTACTCTCTCTAAATCCCACTCCATGTGGGATTTACTACGTTTGTTGGACTGGAATTTACCGAGTTTGTTTAGCTTCGCTTAGACAGACGTTCTCGATTCGTTAGAAAAGAATTGTCAAACAAAGTTGAAAACAACAGAAGGTACACAAGAGGTGTAATGCTAGATGAAACAAGAAAAAAATTGAAAAAGAGTATTGTGTAGTGTGTTTCTCAACACTCCTTTTTTTAGGCTTTACGGAAAGGGGCTTCCACTTTGCTTCTAAACATGCATTTCATTGGAATCTAGTCTGACTGGCTAGAAGCAAAGCTCTCTATATACAAGGGACGGACCCACATTCCTCCCATTCAAATATTCAAAAGCAAAGGCACTAAACCAACCACTTGAGCTGTTCACTTTTTGGCATACAAAAGAATGTGATGAAGCTTTTCTTACAAATACGATTATACCGCAATCCCTCTGAGATTCTTGCCATACAAGCCTCGGTTAATAAGCCACTTGAAAGTGAATAAACAGAAACTAGCAAAAGACATTTCAAATGGTTTTGCCTTCCATAGAGGATAATACTTGCATTACATTATGGCACCTTTTTCTATACACATATAGCACATCCTTTATCTTACAAACTTTTCTGTTAATTTCTAGTCAACTGAAAAACCTAGACTGCTCAAACATAAATTATTCTGATATCATACTAATATCAAGGAATCTGGTCATCTCCAACAGCTTTTGCAGGGTGGAAGGTATTAGGAAAGTCTTCTTCGATGGAATCATGATCTGCTTTGCTTGATGAAGAACGATTACTTGAATTGTTATACCACCTTGCCCAGAAGAGATAGTTGAGGAAGTTGATCAAACTTAGTCCAGCTAACAGCCAGTAAAAAAGGTCTAATCTGCTCTTATTTAGATCAATACCTCCGAGCCAACCACCATCCATTGATCTCGTCGTAATCTTATTTACCACAGAAACAAGCACTGAGCTCAGATAAAAACCGAAGGAGTATGAACAGTATGTGATAGCCGTTGAGAAAGACTGCATCCCTCTCAAATTCTGCTTGTAAAAGAACTCGATCAACCCCACAGCTGTAAACATTTCAGATAATCCAAAGATTAAGTATTGTGGGGTTAACCAAAATATGGATAACGTTTGACCAGAGTTTGAAAAGGAATCCCTTCTCCTTTTCTCCATTATGGCAGCAGAAACCATTGAAAAAGTTGCGAAAAATAAGCCGAACCCAATACGCTGTAAAGGCGTGATTCCAGAAATATGACCAGTGAATTTTCGGGCAAAAGGGACAAAAAAGTAATCATAGAGTGGGACTACAAAGATTAGCAAGATGTAAGGGATGGCTTGGAGTGAGGCTGGTGGGATATGGAACGATTTTGTGATTTGGTTGTTCATCACACTTCCTTGTGAGACGGAGAAGGTTTGGAGCTGTGCTAAAATGGTGTTGAAGACAATTGTACAAGCAAATATTGGTATGATAGAAATTAGGATCTTCACTTGCTCCACCTGGTTCACAGTGCACAGCCTCCAGGGACTTTCCTTTGCATTATTATTATTCCCTTCTTGTTTCCTAATGCAACCTTTGTCTAAGAACCTGAAAATTGTTTTGCACTAATCAGGAGGGTACTGTTGATTATAAAGACCGTAACCAATAAAGTAAGGTGATTAACAGGCATCGTATAAGCACATGCACTGTTGGATTCTCTTTTATAGCATTGTCATGTTTTATTATAGTGGCTTTAGCCCTTCGTTGCGGGTACAAATTACTAGTAAGACTTTTATTCATGACCTCTTTTGTGAGTCTTTTATCGTAACATCTGCAATTTCTATTACAGTTAAATCAAAGGGTTGATTTTATGGTATAATTACTCAAAAGAAGAAGGATCAATGTTCAATGTTACCTGAACCTATCAGTATGACAAAGATTCAGAGTCTCATTTGACATTGTGGAAATGTTGTTCCAGTGCTCATTTTTGCTTCCATGAAGCATGTGGGGATTAGATGGGCACACTTGACTCCTCTTTAAAGTTGCAGCAACAAAAACCTGCATATTGTATAATCCAAATTCCAAACTACAGATTTAGTAAACAGGAAAGAAAAAGTTGGTTAAAGGAAAGTGGAAACATAACTAATCAAGTGTATCAGAGAAAAGCAAACAAATCTGGTGTGTGTTGCCTTCTAATTAAGAAACTAGCAAAAGAAGCATTATACTAATTTTAGACTAGCGAATGCAAACAAATTTGCATGCATAAGCAGGACAAAGCAATAAATAAAGTATATAGAGAACCTTTAAGGGTTTTATTAATTTTCAATTTGGAATATAAAATATATTAAATCACGCAATTAAAGGTCCATCACAGGAACGTTCTATGATCCCTGCTTGGATGGGAGGAGAAATTGGAATTGTTTTAAAAGACAACCATAAACGAAAAAAAGATGTATGAAATTATTGCATACGTATGGTACATTGTGTTTCTTTTCTCAAAAGCCGGAAAGATAGATAAAATATACTTTTGTAGAAGCTTTTTGTTTTTAGGAGAGATAGAAACATGGCATGGCATTTATGAAGTCTATGGTGATGCCATGCGTGCATCATACAGCATCTTTAATTTCATACCATGCTAATGAAGAGGGTTTAAAAGAAATTGGATCTTACTTGTGCTATAGGGGCTAAAATGCTTCCTTGAGGAGGTTTGTTCCTGTAAAATAGGGTACCAGAAACCAAGCAGATCAAGCCCATTGCCATGACGATGGCAGACACCCCAAACCCGATATCCATGCCCGAATGGGTTTGGATCCAAACAAGGAGGGTTAAAGCAATGAGTTCTCCCATGGAGAAGGAAAAGTAAGCAGCATTGAAGTAGGTGGACAGCTTCTTGGCCTGCTTTGGGTCACTTTTATTCAATTGATCAGCACCATGAGCGAGCATGTTTGGCTTCACACAGCCACTCCCTAATGCCACCAAGTAGAGAGCTACAAAGAATATAGTAGCCTCAACTCCCTTGGCCTCTATGCATCTATCTCCATCATTTAGCATGTTGCACTGTGGTGGCTTGAGTTGAGGGAGATGGGCTTGCACTGATAACAGTATGAAACCCTAAACAAATTACAGAAACAAGTAGTAAATATAATAAGACAAATCGTGCATGCTTCTCGCCAGTCTGGCATATAAATTTTATGTTTGACTGTTCTCACTCTTCTTAGACAATATCTAAACCAAATAAATGTGAATAAGCATGACCATGGGTTAGGTGAATGAAAGGGATTGTACTTACAGAGAGTTCGATAAAGCCAAAGATAACCATGGTCCAGAAGCAACCGAGATAAGAATCAGATAGGTAGCCACCAAAGAGGGAGAGGATGAAGACGGTCCCGATGAAGTTTGTTACTATATTTGCTGCTTTCGACAGAGAAAAGTGCATCTCATTTGTCAGATATGTTATAAGATTATTACCAACTGCTGCTATAGCCATTATCTCAAATGCTTGTACCCCTGCAAATCATTCCAGAATATTCAGCTAATTATTTTTTGTTTAAAAAGAAGCATGGATATGTTCTACTATAAAAATTTATGATATATATATATATATATATATATATATTTGTATGCTCACATATGTATAGATAAAGATTTTGTACCATAGGGATAAAAGGCTCTACCTCAGGCTGGTAATAGTAATTGTAAGCCAAAAAAGTAAAAGGTATAAAGATATATGGAGGGGAGAGAGAGAGAGAGAGAGAGAGAGAGCAAACAGACCAAGAACAAATGCAGCAGCCTTCATACCCCCATGTGTGTTGGGATTCGAGGGTCTGCCTTTCCAATCAACTGTTGTCTCATCAGAAATGTTTTCTCCTTTTTGATCTTGACTCCCTGAGTCCATACCTGTGTATGCGTCTGATGTGGAACCTTAGGTAATGAGAGGAAGAAGATTAATCACTAACTGGCGGAACAGGAACCAAGAACAAGTAGTTTGGAAGAGCCAACGCTTGCTTATATTTTGCCACAAGATAACAAAAGCTGTATTCAGAGCCTCTTCACTTAATAAACATGGTGGTTAGAACAGGAATGATAATCGAAAGCATGTGGAGTACTAAACTTTCTTTGCTGAATTGTGACAAGTTGGCCTCTATCCTCCCCCATTTTATATACAACTATCCCCACTAAGTACCCTCTTCATTTCTTGTGATTTATTTCTTTTAAAAAAGATAATTAATTAATAACAATTTGTGTGTTGTTGTAAGTGCGTACATGTGCGAGAGAGAGTGGAAGAAGGGAGGAAATACAATCCAAAAGAGTCAACAATATAAAGGCAACTTACGCATACTTACCAATATAATGATAACCCTACATGTGTTTGACAAATCCATAGCTTGTAATTTGAGCTGCCTTCCTTCTTTAAGTTCCCATTGCTGGTCAAACATAATACACTTAGTTTAGTACTGAAACATAGGGAAAATATCCTCTTGAATTTGGACGGCTTCGGACTCATCTCATTTTTGTCTTCCCCTTTTCATTTTTGTTTCTTCCCCGTTGAATATGATAAATAATGGGGCATACACCAAACCTCCAAAATGTTCATATGCATGTGCACTTTTGGACTACATATGAAAAATAACAAACAATTTTACTTCATGTTCACCTCCTCTGCTCCTCAAGTTGTCATTCGTATGATCCTAGCAAGGCATCTTTCAAAGTCAAGTAATCCAAACATTATTTCTCTTCTCATTGATGTTTCACAAAGGATTAGATTGATGTTATGTGATGTGACCTTTCACCTAACATGACTAGGACCAGTTGTATTCGTTGATTGATCTTGATCATTAATTCGACCTTCATAAATGCCCTTACAGCAGGCACCCCTTGGAACTAAGCTTTTTGTTTCATGTTTCCAATAAGAAGTTTGTCTTCTTCACTCCATTTGTTCCCTATCTTTTTTCACATTTCCTTCTCAAACTTGTTTTATATGGTAGTGGTATCTCATTCATTCTCTAGGTAAATGTAAGTTTTGTTCTAGAATCGGGTCTTGTGAGAAATCACATCAAAGAACATGGATATTGCACAAATTTTGGTTGAGTACAAGTCAATTCACACAGAGATGTTGTCCCTTGGACCCAACTAGGGGTGATGCCTCTAGGACTGTGCAAGGGTGTGTGACCTCTTTGACCCCCACCATGTGGCAACATCCAATAACCCCAGGTTCTAGCTAGCTTATACAAGTTTGTCATCCACACCTTCTTTCCCATATTATAGCTTAACTACCAACCATTGTGAATCCAACAACACAACGATTGATGATTCACTAAAATCACCATCAAGTTGTAGATATATAGTCACATGTACATGAATAGATCAAGGATAACTCTCTACCAATTGAGATTGATTTTATCAACTGATGTGAGGATCTCAGTTACCTTCAATTATATATTATAATTGAGATGGATTTTATCAACTGATGTGAGGATCTCAGTTACCTTCAATTATAGATTATAGTTATAACATTCTTCTAAAGTTGATCCCTTATGTAGGATGGAGGTAGGCTCATTTCCAACTTTGGAGGAGTAACACCCCAAAAATGGGAAAACATAAAATTTCCAAATAAACCGAGAACATGGTATTTGCATAATCAAAATACTAGTCTTCCCGAAAAGGAAAACTTAAATACAACTGTTAATTACAAACTGTAACAGGGGTATGAGGATAACAGCCTATCAATCTCGTCCCTTAAAAGAAATAAAATTACAAATGAGTGTCACCTAAACCATCAAAGTACTTCCAAAAGGTCCCAAAAATGTCTCCCAATATCTCTCTTATAGAGACCAGTCAATTCTTCTTGGTTACCATGCCACTGGAACTGAGATACATGCCCACAGGAAAACAAGTGTTAGGCCAAAGATCTTACTGAGCATGCACATATAATAAACAATTACAACATAATTACTTTACAACCATTTGTAATCCAAGTACAACATTTAGATGGAATCAACAAGGGGGGGGGGGACATTTTCATTGAGAGTGATGGGAACACAAAAGTATGTCACTCGAATAACATTGTCACATAACACTTCAAGACTTACAGTCCAACTGTCCTTTAGGACTACTTAATAAGTTTCACCTTAAGAGTCGGTTGTCCATAGTATCTATTCTTGTGAATTTCACCTCAAGAATCGACACACTTAGTATGTACCTCAAAGGTAACACCTAAAGGGGCGGAGATCTTAGTGTTTAAACACCCATAAAGTAATACCTCAAGACTCAACCTTCCTGGTGCCTACTTGGAAAGTTTCATCCAAACATAAAACTTAATGAAAATATCCGATTAATCCATAATTAGATATGATTTTATTCATTATGTCATGCAAGTTGCCAAATACCTTCATAGATTCATACAAACTCATGATATTAGCATTTATCGACAAAATCCCAACAAACATGATTTTTCATAAAATACCAATATAATGAGCCAAAATCCATAATAAACTATCCCAATAAACATTTAGCATGTAAAGATTCAATATCATGACCTTAATATGAAAATTTGCTAAAAATATATAAAACGTCATCAAATAGGAGTGTAAGATCAAATCATCAAATAATTGTGTTATAGCATAAAAAACATATTTAGTCATGTAATTAGTTTTACAAATCATCTAAAGCTCACTTGCTAGATTTTTGGAGAAAACCTAGAAATTTGGTAAAAACCTCTGCAAGAATTTCCAAAGCAAGAACTCTCTCAATCCTCAAGCACTTCTTTTTACGTTTTCAAAATTCCTAAGTCGAACCTCTGCAAGAATTTCCAAAGCAAGAACTCTCTCAATCCTCAAGCACTTCTCGACCTTATTTTCTAAAATCATTAAGGTCAAATCTTTTCTTTTCTTTTCTTTATCTTCTGTTAAGAAATATGTTTAATCTTTTTAAGAAACTTGTTCTCTTGAAATATTAAACAATAAGATTATTTAACCAACTCTTACTTGGTTATAATCATATTTCTGTAAACACATTCTACTTGAAAAACCCTAATATTTCTTTAAGGATTTTTCGAAAGAAGTTTTTATTGATTCAAAAACTTATCTACTCTTCTCCAAAACAAATCTTGGTTTTTACTAATAATCTGTTTTATCTTATTCTTATTAAAAACAGATGGCTGCCAAGAACATTAATTTTTCTCTCGATGAGGTATCCTTCAAGGCCAACAATCACATTGCCTTGTAGGATATCCCCTCATCCAAGGCAGACTACCAAGAAGCAGCCGACTTTCTCAAACAGTCGTCGCTCGGCTTCGCTCTCAACCATGAACCCATCATGATCAAAGAACTTCTCCAGCAGTTCTGGTTCACTACTGAGGTCGTGGACGTCGAGATCAAGCCTGGACGACAAGTTGAACAGGTCAACTTCACCTTCAATAGCATGGAAGTGAAGTTTGGCGTGAACACCTTGAGGACGACTCTTCGCCTTCCCAAAGGCCCCTACGACAGCGAACCCAAAACGGTCGAGATCATCGAGTGTCTCGATGACATTGGCTATCAATGGCCAATGAAGAAGGACTCAGATGCTCCCATGAAGTCCTTAACAAAGATTGAGAAGAACAGGATGTCAGTTATCTGGCAATGCTTGTTCTCTCACTTCATCCAGTCAATGGGTGGAAAGACTGGAGGTCGGGACCAGGCCTCTAGAATTGCCTTGACAATAGGCGCTTCTCCGATTCAACGTCACAATATAAATTATGTTGCGGTTATTTTCTATGACCTGGTGCTGAAGTTGAACAAGTGTCAGCGAGAAAAGGTGGTGCCTTACACCAGGTTTTTTTTGATGGTCTTTACTAATATCTTTGGAGATCATTACTCCACGGAAGGTAACCTCCAGGTTTCTAAGCTTGGATCCAGGATTATGGATCATAAGTTGAGGGACAGTGATGTGGCACTCTCTTCTATAGTGTCCTTCACTACCTCCTCTCCTCAGGTGGCCAGGACAAGGGTAAACCCCCCCCCCCCGAGTCTAGCCCAGCCACCAAAACCTCTTCAAAACGACCTTCTGAAGCAACTCTTGGTTCTCCTCAGAGAGCCAAGAAAGCCAAAAAGGGGATAGCCACGTCTCTGGCTGAAGTCTCTCGACAGGTTTCAGCTATTGAAACTAGCCTTAACCCCAAGGCACCTTTAGCTAACCCTCCTAGCTCTTCAGCGATTCCTCCCATCACTGTTGTATCAGTGGCACCTACCTCAACCGCCTTAGTGACCCAAATCACTGAAGGTGTGAATATCAGCACCGCCACCGTTGAACACCCACGTCTCTTCTCAACCATTTTCACTTCTTTTCCTTTTTTGGTCTTTACACGTGTTGATGATGTATCAGCGACCGTCCTCCTTGATACTGAAACACACACCACTAGACCTGAGGTTGCTTCTCTCGATGCTCCTCATGATACAAATGTCCATCCTCTCGACGACATCTTTGCTCACGCCAGTAACATTCCTTTGGATGTCATTGATGGCCCCTCAGGTATTCCATATACCTACCCCTTCATTTCTACTAACCTTGAGATTTTTGTTGCTCACACTTCCTCTGTTGCAGGTCCTTCTTCTATGCATCAGCCAGATGCTAAAGAAGAGGAAAAGGACGGGGGCAAGAAACAAGATGGATAGGTCGAAGAGATTGATGATGACTATGATATGGCATCTGATGTCAAACTCCTCCTCCCAGCCATTGATTCAGTTCTCTGCAGGATAACTGAAGTTCACCAAGAGATGTCTCGCAAGGCTGAACTTGATGCGAACCTCTCAGCTCTCCAAGCAGACGTTCAAGAAGTTCAGAGTCACCTCCTGACTCTCCAAGAAGTTGTTCGAGCCAACACTGAAGCCCTTGTTGTTCTCTCCAGCAGAGCTGATGATGCTCAGGCTCTTGCCCTTCAACAGATGGGACTTCTTCAGCAGATCCTGGATGTTGTGCGTCAACAAGCTCCATTGATCCCGCCTTCTTTCTCTGCTGATGATCGCGCTCAGCTCAATGAGATGCGTGAATCAACGACAACTCTAGCCAATGCTCTGTCAAGGC